GGAACATGACAAGGGTAATATGTGTCACATGCTATCATGCTGAATTAGGTAATTTCAGAAGACTCATCTTTGTAATTGGCTCTTTGTGTACAATGCATAGGCCTGAATTAGGTCAGCTTGTTAGATGCTCTCAGAGTTTCCTGCTGCTTCTTTTAGAGACTTTGGCCCCTTTATATTACTTTGGCTCTACACTAGACACTAAGGTTTGTGCCTGCAGAAGCTGCCTTTCTTATGTATTGATGTGGCACAATCTCTAATTCTATCCCAGTGTCTAACAGGGTGAGGGTATTTGCTGAGGAACAACAGAGAAGACTAAGATAACAAAAGTAAATACTCAACAATAGCAATATATCCTTTCTAAGCATGATCAGAGTCCTGGTGTGGTGCTGAAGGATAATGTGCTGGATTGCAATGTCAGTTTCAACTGCAAGATCAGCAGTTCAAGCCCACGAGCAGTTCTTCGAAAACCCCATACAGGTCGCTATGGGTCAGAACTGACTTGATGTCACATAATATAAACAAGTAGTCATGATTTCATTGAATCCTCTCAATAACTCTATGAAGCAGCTGCTACTCTTACCTTGTCTTTATAGAGAAGGAAATGAGGGCTTAAGGATATTTTATAACTTCATCAAGGATCTAATGCTAAATGTCAAAAAATTGCCATTACCTGATATCAGAGCTTAGACATTTAACATTGTTCTATAGTCTGTTGATTTATAATGCATTGGCTGTATACCTGTATAAGCTCAAGTTATTAAATCTAATTCTAGAGTTAAAATTCCATGAATGAAAGGGCTATTTTTGTTGCTGGGTTTTTTTTGTTTGTTTGTTTTTTTTCTTATAACCTTCAGTAACTATTTTGGTTGTATATACATGCATCATTGTTGTTAAGTGTCCTCAAGTCAGTTCCGATCCATAGCGACCCTGTATGGGGTTTCTAAGGAGCAGCTGGTGAGCTTGAATCTTTGACCTTGCAGTTCAAACTGATTTTGCAGTCCAGTGCATTAACCCACAGTGCCACACCAGGACTCCATATGCATGTATAGTTGAATAGAAATAATTATTTTACTAGGAATAAAGGTTACAAGCTAGAAATGTTGAAGTTCATGACAGTTTTTTGTTTTTTGTTTTTGTTTTTGGGTACATATGAACTTCAAAAAGGGTTGTTGTTGCTAGCTACCATCAAGTTGGCACTGACTCATAGCAGCCTTACGCACAACAAGAATAGAACACTGCTTGGTCCTGTGCCGTCTTTACAATTGTTGTTATGCTTTAAAAAGGGTCGTTGTTGTTATTGTTAAGTGCTTTTGAGTCAGTTCCAACTCATAGTGACCCTGTATAGGGTTTCCGAGGAACAACTGGTGGGTTTGAACCACTGACCTTGTGGTTCGCAGTCCAATACAGATCCTACAGCACTATACCAGAAGTCCTTAATAGGGGTAGAGTTATAAAAACAGTAGAATCATAAAATCTTAATATCGCTAAACAAATTCAGTGATTTATTCTCTCATTCAAGAAATAATTAGTGAATATCTACTAACTGCCAGACACTCATAGTTGGAGATACCGTGGGAACCATTAAAAATAATAAGTACACATGTATTACAAAATGCAATGTGCTAGAGAGATGGGAGGTGGGGGAGAGTGGTGACAGGAAATATACCAGAGATGGGAAATGTGAAATGGTCAGAAAATGCCTCAGTGATGTAGGAAGAATTCAGCTCAGTGCCTGTAAGAGAGGCTGGAATGTGTAACTTCTAAGAGAAGCTGGAATGTTGGAAGGAGCATAGGGAACAACTGGGCAAAGACCATATGCTTTTGGGGAAAATTTGACATGCTGGAGAAACACAAAGAAGGCTAGTGGGTCTTCAGAGATACGGCTAATGCAGTCCTGTGACCACCACAAGATTGTACAGGGCTTCTTTCATTCCCTTGCCCCCTTAATCACATGAAAAAATCCAATTGCTGTCAAGTTAGCTCAGACTTATCATGATTTCTTAGATGTCACAGTAGAGTTTGGTTATAAATAGTTCTCAATGGCTTACTTCTCAGAATGAATCTGCAGACCTTTCTTTGAAGGTGTCTTAAGTTAAACCAAATCTCTAACCTTTCAGTTAGCAGTTGACCCATCTGTACAACATAGGAACTGCACAACAGACAATGTGGCATCCACTTATATTTGTCTTCTCAGAACCCGAGTCTTAAGGTAAATGCTTGCGCTGTAGAAATAAATACATGAGGAGTTTTGCAGTAAACATGAATAGGAAAGTTTAGTAAGCCCAGAGGCCCGATCTATGGAGACCCTACCCTCAACAGTGAACATTTCCCTCAGCAGAACCTGGCCAGTGAACCTGGTACTTCCTGAATGTCCTTTCCTTTCCAGTCTAGTTGTGTCCCATGTTCCTGGAATGCAAGGAGAAGAATTTTCCATCTACTAATCCAATTGAAGGTTATTTCAACTGAAGGCAAGATATCTTCTCACCCCTTTGACACACTAAGAGATGGATATAACTTCCTCTCTCTGTGTCACCTCTCTCTCTCTCTTCCTCCACCACCTCTAAGAAAAGCTGGAATGTATAGCTGCAGATGAAGTGAACAACAGAGCTTTGAGGATGATGTAGCTCTTCTTTGAGAGGAAGAACCAACCATGACAATTGGTACTGAAGTATCTGAAATAGATTAAATCAACTTGCACTACTCTTCACTTGTTACTGGAATTTTGTATATTAATTTCAAAATAATATTAACATGAGTATATATGGTTTAACAACCAGACAAGGGGGGAAAAAAATAAAGGAATTTGCTGGAAACTGTACTTTCCCCTCCCCCCGGCAAATATATATCAAAGAGCATGTGTAGTCTTTTCTCTCAGAGCTACGCTTCTACTTTCAGAAGACAGGGGCAATGTCATTTTCCACCTTCAAGAAGCATTTATTCTTCATGGAAATCTAATGACAATTCCCAGCCTCAGTTAAGGACTTGTTTTCCCATGTTTTTGAACTTCAAATACTTTCTAAATTGCATTAGCTGAAGCATTGTATGTATATAATTAACTCACAGGTCCCTCTGGGCTCATCTAGCTAAACTTGTGGAGCTTAACTGCGCAAGACATTTGCTGATATCTCTCCCTGCAGTGACACCCACTGAAATGAATACCTTTAGTAAGAGGAAACTGAGAAT